TGAGGATGGACTGGCTCTGAAACACGATGCTAAAACTTTCCTCCGATGGACTCGAACTGCTGCGATGGTTCCTGACTCTGTCCAGTTTGCAGGTTCGGTTCTGGTTGTAGGAATGCTGTGAAAGCGCACCGTGTTTTAAAAAGTGGTTTATTAAAAAGTTAACGTTTGGTGAAACATCAGTTTGTTTTAGGGAGAACAACATCGAGCAACACTTTCCATCGTTCCTACCTATGAAATCAWAGGAGTTAGTGATGAGCAGGAGGAATGAAAAAAGTTGTTTTTCTCTGCATTTCACAACGTTAGTTACTGTATTAACATTAAAATAAAAACATCACTGTTGTCTGGATAAAGTCATGACATTACATCAATAATATCCTCTGTCATTTCATTGTCAAATTAAAATCAGAAATTATGTTTTACTGTTTTTATTCGACCCCATTAACTGAGCCAAAATCTGAAAAAGTTGATATTAGTGGTTTTTTGAAGAATGGACTGGTTAAACCTTCAGTAAAATGCTGTTTTTGTATGAAATAAGAGGAAGGGGTCGAGAAGACCACTTCAAAACGATAACCATGGCTTTCTCTGAACAACAGTGACATTCTTGGAGTCGTATTTCAAACTCTTGGAGTCGTATATTCAAAAGGAAAAGATGGAGACGGCAAAGGAAAGCTCCTAAAGAAATTACTCAAACCCATAAAAATGAAAAATTATGTAAAAACACACTTGTTTCAGGTTATGTTCTTTCAATTTACAACATGTATTCCAGAAAAAGCCACACTCTGACCAAAGATTCCTGCTAAGCATCACTGAAAACAGTCATTTTGGTTCAACATTTTCTTCTCGTGGTTCCAACTAAACCTCCCTGGAGGGTTCAAGTACTTCTTTTTTTTTTTCTTTTTAAATATAAGTTTGTTCTCTTTTAGTTAACACCACTTTCGACTGCCTCAGATTCTTGGAACATGGCGTCATTACTCCTGATTTCCTTAATTTGACCGCTAAATTTGTTTTGCTTGTCTGTTGATTTCTGGTGTAAAGACATTTAAACTCTTTACTTTTTTTCAACTTTTTATGGTTTTGTATAGGAATCAGTTAAAGTGAATATAGTTTTTGCGGTGCTTCTAGCTAGCTATTTTGGTTATATGTCTAGCAGTCGGAGTTATCTAATTATTTTTGGTTCAAACCGGTTTTGATGCTTTACTAAATATTTGCAGCTGATGACAGAACCAATGTATTGATAGGAATAACTTTTTTTGGGCTGCAGCCATCACAAAAAAGTTGTATGATTTAATACTGCTGTTTTTTTTCAGCAACGTAAATTGATAGCGTCCTGATGCATCTCAGTAATCCAGGTAAAAAATCAAAGGAAAAAAAAAATTGTATAGGTCCTCTGGACGGGTTCTTCTTTAATGAAACGTTTCGTCTCTCTTCCAAGAGACTTTTTCAGTCTGAGAGTTTCAGGCAAATTCAGGCTTTTATGTCCTGCCTCCAGGTGACTGATACTCACATCACATGGCCATCGTTCACCCTAATTAATCCCTTTTATTGCTACAGCGCTGCCATTGGCAGTATCACTCCACCCCCTGTTAACAAAAGGGATTAATTAGGGTGAACGATGGCCATGTGATGTGAGTATGAGTCACCTGTGAACGATGGCCATGTGATGTGAGTATCAGTCACCTGTGAGCCATAGCCAGGTGATGTGAGTGGGAGTCACCTGTGAACGATGGTCATGTGATGTGAGTATCAGTCACCTGGAGGCAGGACATAAAAGCCTGAATTTGCCTGAAACTCTCAGACTGAAGAAGTCTCTTGGAAGAGAGACGAAACGTTTCATTAAAGAAGAACCCGTCCAGAAGACCTATACAATTTTTTTTTTTTTTCCTTCGTAAATTGATAGCTTTTTCACCTAAAAATTTTACTCGGAGACATAAAAAATTAGTGTTCAGCAGCTTCAGTTTTCTTAATAAAACTCTCACAGAGTAACAGGGTTCAGTGATTACTGTTGTTAATTACTGAGAGGAAAACACTGAATATTACAGCTTGTAAAGCAGCAGGAGTCTGACTACTGACTGAAAATTATTCAGAATTTTCCAAATATGTGATTAGAAGCCGATTTTTCTGGCAAATTTGTTTGAATCTYGCTTTATTTACTTGGAAACATTTTTAAATCAGAATATTTTAAGAATATTTGTCTTATATTGAACACAACCAGGATTATAACTCATTACTAATAATAATTGAAGACCTAGTATTCCTTGAAGAAATGCACATCACCTGCCAACCTTTTAGCTGTTTTTAGTCAAACGTGGAAAATAACCCCTAGGAGAATGTGTTGTGACTGACTCTCAGCTACTACCACCCCAAATATCAGCTCAGTGTTTGTAAATTTCACAGAGTTGTTGTCATTTTCACCAACAGACATGGGAGAAAAACATTATCAACTTTTGTTTGCTTTTGTGACTTCACACTTCTTTCAATAAACAAATCTTTTCCCACGATTTAGTCGAACCAAAACACAAAAAGATGAAAAAAAAATAAATAAAATTACTGGTAAATCTTTGTCATTCCACAACCGAAGTGCTTTTTGTTGAGATAAGTACACATTTACTTGTCCTGAAACGACACAGCTGTGTTTAGCTAACCTCAGCGAGCGAGTCTTTAAAAGGCAYCACATGAGATGAAGCTGCTATTTTACAACGCTGAGGCTTTGTGGGACACTTTTCTTAGTTTCGCCGTCTGACTCTTCATTCTGGATCCGCTCCAGAGCATTTTTGGCGAGCAGACGCAGCTGCACCGACAGCTGGATGTCTTCTACGTTTGTGGACGCTTTTGAACGTCGTCGTGAACAATGAAGCGATTATCTGCCTTTGAGGGGTTTTTGTTTCAGGTTCTGGTCCTGAACGCCAGCAGGTAGTGGTTTGCAATTATCATTCTTCAGTCATACCAAACCACTTTGCTACCTGTTGAGTTTGCTGAGGCACAGACACATTGCAGCCTCTCTAATTAGGATTTAACCACAGTTCCCATGACTGGTCGGCTGCACGGCTCTGGTGGGGGGAACTCCAGCGATTTTTACGGGAAGAATCATAAAACTATACCAGGAAACTATGGGCCTGAACCTACACTTAGCAAGTCCATCATCAGCTAATATAACTGCAGAAATGAACTTACTCATCTTCTTAGCTGYGCCAGTTCCTGGCTTATAAAATATCAGCGGGATTTCATCAGCATAAACTCCCATTGAAGCTTTCCGATGACTAATTACACGTGGCTGCSGCTCTGCTGCAAATTAGATCATCAATATCTGGAGGATGGGAAGAATCGTGTGGGAATTAACTCTTTACACAGAAGGACTTCTGTATTTGTGGAACAGTTGGGGATACTTGTATTCAGTCCACAGTTTTCCAACCTTTCAGTGTACTTCTGATGAATTAAAACACATTTATTCAAGGTTAATATTTAGACTAAAATGAGGTTCTCTAACCCTATGTTCCCTAGTACAATGCCAGCACTAAGTCAATATTTTTTCATATGTTTCAAGACATTTAAAGGGAGAGTCAACATCTTTCATGACTTTTTATTATTAACTCAAATTGAACATAAGTACTAGGGACACATAGTACCAGGAAACATAAGTACCGGTGAACATAGATATCAGGGAACACGGGTTTTGGGAAACGTAGGTACTGGCGTTGTAGACATGGGGGAACATACAGATTGAGGAACACATGTACCAGAGAACATAAGCAGGGTTCCCACGGGTCCTTGAAATCCTTGAAAGTTTGTGAATTTGAAAAAAAAAATGATTTCAAGGCCCTGGAAAGTTTGTGAAAACAGCCAAAAATTACACTTGTCCTTGAAAGTCCTTGAATGTCTTTTGGGGATTGAAGTTCTCTATTCACACGACTGATTTTCATCATCTGTTAAATTAATAATAATAATAAAGTTAAAAACTTGCATTTGTTGCATGGATAACAGGATTACAGTAAACTGACGTGGCTTTCAACAAATAACATGAGCCATAGTGATAGTTTTAACCAATCAGAGCAGAGTAGGGCAGGTCTTTCTTTCTGAGCCCAGGTGAAGCACCACAGCTCCTGCTGTCCTCACTGAGGGTCTGGACATGTTCATATCCCCTCCTCCCAAATTGAGCTGCTGAACCTCCCAGAACATAATTACATGTCCATGTATTGTGGATATGAATATAGGGTGTACATTTAATCCGATTTCTTTCATTGATTCTGACTCAACAACTTCTATGTTATTCAGTTTTTCATTGAATTTACATATTAAACTTGTTTATTGGTAACGTTCTGCAGTAGCAGTAGCAGTAGGTAATTGCCGTCACGTGTGGTTCTTGAATTTGAGGAAATTGGTACTGGAAAGTCTTTAAAAGGTCCTTGAATTTGATGATGTCCAAGGTGTGGGAACATAGATGTCAGGGAACACAGGCATCAGGAAACATAGTTATCATAAAACATAGATATGGGGAAACAATGGTGTGCTCCCAAATAAAGCAATGATAACTTAAGCATATGGATGAAGTTTATTTATTTAATAAAATACTGTACAAAATGATATAATAAAAGCAGTACTTAGATATGAGAAGACAGTAAACTTTAGGATAAAACAAGCAAGCACATAGAACAACTTGGACCATCCCAGCATCTTCTCACTATTGTAGTTTATTTTTGAAAGGATCATAAAGTGGAAACTGCAGTCATAGGTGAGGTGCATTACTACTAGAACACGTGCAACCCCCTATAACGTGTCCATTAGGCTTGTAAAAATGAAGACTTGCATAAATCCCTGGCAGGGATTGAAAGCAGCTCATGTCTCTGCACCTGAAGCCTTTGTTTCATGAAAGTGTTACATTTATGTAAAGTTCTGTTGACGGGGATGTAAAGGTGGACTTACTTTTTATTGTCACATATTTTTCTCTGTGACCTGCGTACGTTTCAAATATTCCATCAATCAATCTTTGTTTTTGTTTCCAACAGCGTTCGAGCGATGACTGACCGATCAGSACCTAAAGAACTCCAGCAGAACATGCCAGCAGCTGCTGATCCGTCCAGCCCCGTCACACCCGTGCTTTAAATAATCCCATGGAAGGTTTTAATCTCGATGGATTAATAAAGCTGCCGGAAGAAGATCAGTGATTTCAATCGATTGGATCTTGGCGGCGGAAGGGAGCTGGCATGTGGCCCCCCGACCTCGGGCCTCCAGATGTGCAGCTGACTCTTCCTGGTTTCGGGAGCGCATTCGAGGATCTTCAAGATCTTGAGTCCTCCGGGGGCCTCTGCCAGCCTCATTCAGGAGGCCTGTGCTGCCTTCCTAGAACCTCCCTGGGATGTGACCTGAACTCCCTGCTCAGCTGTAAAACAGCAGAACTCCACGTGGAGAAAACCGTGGAGGACTTCGTTACCACAGCTCAGACTGACCCCAAAAACAGCACCAAGATGGTCAGCTGCTACCCTCAGCCCTGTCTTCCTGTCCCTTACGTGTTCACAAGCTGTGCCAAGTCTCCATCGTTTGAATCTTCACCTTCCTCCCTTTCCTCCTCTTCCTCATCRTCTTTACTTCATTCCTCTTGCCTGCCTCTTTCTGATAAATTCCCCCAGCAGCACCTCAGCCTGCAGGAGGAGTACCGCTGCATAAAACAAGAACCTCCTGACGATTTCTCGCCATGCAAGAGGGAGCCATTCCAAGTGAACCACCAGCAGGGGGATCCGTTCCTCCTGGGCCAGGACAGAAGCCAGTCCCCTCTTCATGGTCCCAGACCCGTGGGACCGGACATCCCGCCAGAGCAGCAGGAGCAGTCGTGCCATTGGATCGACTGCAGCGCCGCCTACGGCAGCCAGGAGGAGCTGGTGAGGCACATCGAGAAGGTGCACATCGACCAGCGGAAAGGGGAGGAGTTTGCGTGTTTCTGGACTGGCTGCGTGCGGCGGCACAAGCCCTTCAACGCTCGCTATAAGTTGCTCATCCACATGAGGGTCCATTCAGGAGAGAAACCCAACAAATGCATGGTGAGCGGATTTTTTAAAATCTAAAAACAAAGAAAGTACGGTAAAAGGTTCTGATTGTGTTTGATACATTTAGTGGACAAAACATTCAGAAACCATGAAGCATCTTAAGAGTTTTTCTAATCTACTTCAGTTTCAGGCATTAAAGTAATAATTAAAAAAACAATCAGAGAAAACCTTAAATCATTATTGTGTGAATGTGGTTAAAATGGCATGTTTTATTATAACACACTGTATTTTATTTTAGGAAAACAAAACCTAAAAAATTAAAACTAAACTTGGTTAAAAATGGGAAAAAAAGAGCAAAATCACACCTATATCCTAAAAGTAGCTTAAAATAAAWTTTTGCCAAATTAGCTGAACTGTAGCCAAAATCTAGAACCAGCAGTTGCTAAAACCTAAAATATACACAGTAGTRGCTAAAATTAGCAAAACCACAGCAAATACCTAAAACCAGCAGCACAGTAACAAAAATCTAAAATGAGCACAACAAGCTTAAACAAGTTAAAATTACCACGTTAGTTTACAGCCTAAATTAGTAAAACAGAAACTTTAAGCTGAAAATACCTTAAATTAAAGAAATCGCTAAAATTAGCAAAACTATAGTTAAAACCATGAACCAGTAAAACAGCAAATAATAGCTAAGATCAATAAAATTCTAGCTAATAGGTAAAATTGACACAAAAATAGCTTATACCTGAAATTAATAAAGCAAAAACTTACGTTACAATTAGCCTAAATTTAATTTCTTAAATTAGCTAAATAACAGCTAAAACCTGAAACCAGCAAAACATTAGCTAAAATCTAAAATATGCACAACAATAGCTAAAATCATCAAAACCATAACTAAAATGAGCAACTATCCCTACAAATTTTTCAAGCTAAAATGAACTTAAACTTCAAGTCTCCATTCATTTCAATAAAACCAAAAAAAGGGTTGGAAAAAGTAAAATTCTTTCTTTTATTTACCTCAAAGTTACAAAAAATAGAAAGTTATAGCTGCTCCACAGAACCACAGAGCAAATATACTCATGTAGACCAGGCCAATATATATAAAACAATCACGTTTTATTGTTTTTTCTACAATTAAAACTGATTTACCACAAATTRCAACAGTCTTCTTCTGTAAATTAATCTTAGATAAACAGCTACGAGCATAAAAGTTGAATTTATTTTACAAGAAATTCCTGTTTGGGGTCAACAAGTGAACCTAATCTTTGTCCACGATGTTGTTCAGTTTAAGCTAAAGTCAAAATAAGGTTAAGGAAATATATTTTTAAAACATTTTCCTCATTYGGCTGACTGTCATCACCTCCAGCGCTGCAGTTCTGACATCTCCAGCTCCAAAACACCACGTTCATATTTAAAGAAAATCAACACGATAAAGACAAAAGCAGACGGTGTTGTGTTTTTAGAAATTTTTCTGCTTTAACATTTTAAAGCCGCAGAGCAGCGTCGCTCTTCATCACTTCTGTCATCAGTCATCCTCCGAAGCTCGTCTCTGTCCCGTGWCTACCTTCGGTTTGAAGCCAAATCCACGTCCATCAAGCTGACTCTGTTATTCCCTGCCGTCATTAACTCGGATTAATAATTCATTTTCTCACTCGGGGACACACACTTCTTGTGTGACTGAATTAGTTTATTAAAAGTGTGTGTCCCAGGCTGCTGCCAGCTCATAAACTGCAGCAAATCGCCAGTGAACAGGTTATTATTAAATCAACACAATATTAGTCATCGGTCACACTCAGACGACTTGAGTAAAATTATTTCATTTTCATGAAGCGCTCAGATGTGGGTGAAGTCACTCTGCTGCAATGGAAAATGAATATTTCTCTTGAATGTGGTCAGTGTTCATTAATGAACTCAGCTTTATTTACCAGCTCGTAACATCGGCAGGTGTTTTTAAGGCTGTAAACATTTCAAATACAAAATACAGTGTATGGTGCTTCACTGACAAGTTCAGTATACAACCAGGACCAAAAACAGTTACAGTAGCAAGTGTTTTATTTCACGCCAAAACTGATAATTACTTTTTTCTGTATCTCGCAGCAGAGAACCATTGGTATTAAGTAAAAATTACGTCTAAATGTGTCCCTTTTTCAGTTTTCTCTGAGGAAAACTTAACAGCCTGTAAGTAGTAAGTACCCCCAAACAGGGGGGGCCACTAAAGCTACGTTCACTACAGGTCCTAATGCTCTACTGTAGGACCAATGTTGGCATGCTACAGTAGCCATATGCTATGGAAGCCGTATTAGCATGCTACAGAAGCATTGTTAGCATGCTACTGGAACCTTCTGCTAAAGAGGCAGTCTTGGCGTGCTACAAAAACTGCTACATAGTGTGTCAGCGTGCTACAGGGACAATGTTAGCATGTTACAGAAGCCATGTGCTACAGAGGCAGTGTTAGCATGCTACAGAAGAGAGGTAGTGTTAGCATTCTACAGAGTTAATGTTAGCATGCCACAGAAGCCATGTGCTACAGAGGCAGTGTTAGCATGCTACAGAAGAGAGGTAGTGTTAGCATTCTACAGAGTTAATGTTAGCATGCTACAGAAGCCATGTGCTGTAGAGGCAGTATTAGCATTCTACAGACTTAATGTTAGCATGCTTCAGAAGCCATGTGCTACAGAGGCGATGTTAGCATGCTAAAGAAGCCATGTGCTATAGAGGCAGTGTTAGCATGCTACAGAGTCAGTGTTAGCATTCTACAGAGTTAATGTTAGCATGCTACAGAAGCCATGTGCTACAGAGGCGATGTTAGCATGCTAAAGAAGCCATGTGCTATAGAGGCAGTGTTAGCATGCTACAGAGTCAATGTTAGCATTCTACATAGTTAATGTTAGCATGCTACAGAAGCCATGTGCTACAGAGACAGTGTTAGCATGCTACAGAGGCCATGTGCTATAGAGGCAGTGTTGGCATGCTACAGAGGCCATGTTGAAATGCTATAGGACCAGTGCTAGCAAGCTACAGTGACCATATGCTACAGAGGCGGTATTAGCATTTTACAGTGTTAATGTTAGCATGCCACAGAGGCAATATGCTACAGAGGGATTGCTGGCATGCTACAGTAGCCATATGTTACAGGGGTAGTAGTAGCATGCTACAGTAGCCATATGTTACAGGGGTAGTATTAGTATGCTACAAAAGCAATGTTAGCATGCAATGACTGTGAGAAAATTAAGAGAAACTCAATGACGGCTACAGAAATATTTGGCGAACATGTTTGACCAGCTGTTGGAACCAGCTGTTGGACCACCACACCTTTCAGTTTGAAGTCCAGTTTCCAGTTTGTTTTCACACCTCCGCTGAGACTTAGCTACAATTAATAAAATCTGAAAGTTTCTCAGGGTTTGTGTGCTCTGACCTGCTTTTTTTGTACATAAGTTGTTTCAACCCTCAGATTAATTAATCACCATGATGTAGTGGGACTTTCTTCCTTTTATGTACAGACTTGTTAAAATAAACGAGGTGAGTGACATTTACAGACTCATTAGTGAGAACTAATAAAAACTTGGAGTCAATGTTTGAAAGAAAAACAGTTTAGATGAAAGTCAGTCTTTTTGCTTTTGGGGTCACACCCAAAAGACTCTTGACAGTAAAACGTGTTAAATCAAACATATAAATTATGAAAATCCAGCAATTTTTTAAAGTGTCTAAACTCTCTTTACAACCCAGCTGATTTAAAACTAAAGCATCAGAGGGTGAATTTGACTGAGTTTCTTTCTTTTTTGTTTTCGTTTTTTTGCTTAAAGTGTAAAAAAAACTGCTGATGCTGATATTTGCTTCTTGCTTTTGGCTTCAACCCAACAGCAACACTTTCAGGCACAACCTACCACAGCYGGGTTTGTTGTTTTCTTTCAGCTGTTACCTAGATTTTATGCTTTTAATTGGCAACATATTTCATCCTTACTGCAGCTGTCTTCATCATCTTTCAGTTGAGACATGAAAATGCCATATTATTATATTTTATTGGTGCCTAAAAGGGTAAAAAGTCATGTTATATAAAAAGCAATGACTATACTGTGATTATTGTTATTTTTTAAAATGTTTCTGTAAATCTCATTTTAGTTTGAGGGCTGCACCAAGGCATTTTCCCGCCTGGAGAACCTGAAGATCCACCTGAGGAGCCACACAGGAGAGAAACCGTACATCTGCCAGCACCCCGGCTGTCTAAAGGCCTTCAGCAACTCCAGCGACCGGGCCAAGCACCAGCGCACACACCTGGACACGGTCAGAACTTTTCCCTCCTAATCCTGAGAACCTTTCTGGATCTGGGTTGCTTCTCCAGAGAACCTTAGTTTTCTCTGAAATAAAAATGTCGCTACCATAAAGTTTGTAATTACAGGGGTTCTGTCAATGCCACAACAGGCCCAGTTGTAGTTGGGTTTATATGGCCCATATCTGCCAAYGGTTTATGTGGTGCTGGCCCATGCATGGACACCTCTGGCAAACTACATCTGGGCCACCAAAGGGCAGTATCTGCCACATCTGGTCTGTGTTAGTGCACTGTGTAGGCCAGAAATAGGCCAGACAAATTTTGCTACGTGTGGACGATGCTAGCAGGCCACAGCAAATGACTCGCATGGTTTTGGGCTGCCCCACTAACACTAAATGGCTAAACATGTCAAAATTAGCAGAAGCTAACAGCTTATCGCTAACCGCTAAGTCGACTGTCACTGAGGCTGTGTCCAAAACGGCAGGACAGGTCCTCCGAAGGTCGAATTTGTCGGCYGCATACGTCACAGCGCCGCGACGAAGGACGTCCAAAACGGAAGMCTCCTCCGATGYRTCCGACAAATACGTCCTTCTTTTTCCCCGAATCGAAGTACAGGTCCGATGGATCCTTCCCGGCCCAGCATATCCCATAATGCATTGCGGCCCGACCGGAGAAATGGCGGACGAAGCGAGAGAAAAGAATACAT